GAAAACAATCAAGCTGCAGGGACCGCAAACAATAAAAATGAGACAAACTCACAGGTCATTGAGGAGTTTCAGTCGCAAGTCCCAAAAAAAAAGAACAATCATCAAATTTGTTGAAGTAAGCTACCTTGAATTATGCCCACGAGGCTACGGAGCTTTCAATTTTTCACTAGGACATGCCACACCAAAAAATCACCCCAAAGGCCTTTCAACTTCCTCCTCTTGCCGCGGCCGGCCGCGGTCGGCTCCCGCCCCGCTCCTGCCATCGTCTTCTCAGCAAGCTGTAATAGTAGTGTACTGCTGGGACTGGCATGAATTGGCCTTTTTTGGGTTCGTTATGTTTGAAACTTAGGGAACTCAGCACCTGGATACCTTTTTGAAGTGGTGAACCTCACCTGCCAGGCCCCTCTTCCAACTTGAGTTGGGACCTCACTCCGGGGCCGCTTGGAGAAGAAACTCTCAAATCCCTTGGCCGAAATTCCGTGTCAATTGGTTACATCAATCGGTCTTTGGATATCTTCCTTATTTGGACTACAATATCCGTTTGTACCAACCCCGAAAAAATAGAAATGTAATTCATCAAAGTAATTCACCATCATTGTTGAAAGTTGTTTTGCTAAAAGCTATCTTTTAGGGGCCCATTGGATTATCAATCCCCCAATCCATCCTGAACTTTAATGACAAATAGATAGATATAGATAGATAGTCAGATAGTCTACAAAAAGTATACAAACCCCTCCATCCACCTCAATCCCCCATGGTTTCCTTTAGGAATCCTATGACTTTGGGCCACCTGCGAAGCCTTCGCGGCCGCGATGCTCCTGGAACGCGCGGCCAGCGGCATCATGGTTGCCACGAAGCCATCCTCGCGACGAAAACGAACCGAACTCTACGAAGGTCGACATCCACCATCCCCAGTGGGGACTAATGCCTGATACGGATGCTTAATCAAATGGGATTTAATGGGATTTAATGGGATTTTATCGTCCCTAAATGGGATTTAATGGTGACTTAACTGGTATCTAATGGGATTTACTGGGATAAATCATAGATTTTAATAGGTAATCATGCCTGATATGGATGCGTATACCATGCAAAAATTATAGCATCCATCTATTTAATAGATTTCTTGATTATACCCTCTGGTTATGACTAACATAGCCATGGAAAATAGATGGCCCATAGAAATGGATGCTTTACCGAACTTAAAAATTGTGATTTTCCATGGCTATGTTAAATAACCAGATGGTAAGTGTTGAGATCAACCATAACTCTTGGAATTCGTAAAAAGACTCTATTCTCTCTCTATCCATTTGTTGATCCAGCTTTTGAGTTCATCAACAATAAGGGATTCTGGCTGGCAAAAAAAGGGTCAAGAACAATATCTCTGGATAGAATCACTTGATCCTCATCCCTGATCACAGCCCAAATCGTGTCGCCAAACATCCCCAAAATGACCAGATCAGTGACACCACCTGCATTTCTATGGAACTGTTTGTTGTGTGGGGGATGAGATTAGTAGGGAAAGAAGATTGCACATACCCGAGATCATCCGAGCATCGAAAGGTCACCAATATTTGGATGAGCGTTTGGGTGGATATCCCTAAGGTAAACAAATATCATACATGGAAGACCTTGTGGATGCCCAGAGTGGTACCAAAGGGACCGCAGGTATGGCCAAGTTCAGTGCTGAACCACGCTGTGCACTTTTGCTTTGCAGTTGATTTGGAAATCTGCTCCAGCAGTCTCCAGAAATGGATTAAATCAAACTTTCATAAATTATGTATATATATAATATATGGGGGTTTCCTAAAAAATGGGGGACCCACAAGTCACCATGGGTTTCAATACTAAGATTGTCATTTTTTTAGGATGATGTTTATAGGGTGCCCCCATTCTAGGTTTCACCTCCATATACAAATCTTGCACCATCTTTTACCCAACATCGCACCCTCCCAGCCACCGTACTGCCCCCCGGTCGCCGCACCGATTGCCAAGAGTAGCGGATGATGCGAAACTGCACCGCCTCGTTTTTCGGTGGCGGAAGGGCCGCCAGGCATTGAAAAACCACGTTTTTGACAAAACATGGTGAAACAGTGACAACATTGGAAATGTAGGAAACATTATGGCTTTTCCAAAAAGTTACTAACCATATATCAGATAGACGCTATACTTATATATATAATTAATTATAATTATATATACATGGAGGTTTCATGGGGGTACCCCCAACTCATCCAAAAATTCGGGTTTTTGACCCCCCATGACTTTTCCGAAAGCCGCGGCCTGTCCAACTGCCAGGGTTGGCTTCTGAACCTGGGCCATATGAGATCTGGGAGAAAATCATCCCATTCATATCCATTAGTTTGTCCTTACCCTCTGGTAATTTAACATAGCTATGGAAAATCACCATTTTTGATGGGAAAATCCACTATAAATGGCCATGTTCAATAGCTATGTTAAATTACCAGAGGGTACCCATTTCAAACAATTTTCAAACTAATTAATGGGATGACTTGTTTCAACAAAGTTTGAAATTGGCAAATCACCCAGCAGCATTGCGTCTTCAACTCCTTTTCTGGTATTGTTCTTGCTCGAAAAACTCTTGAATCTTCGGCCGTGATGATCCCCGGCAATGCCACCTCCCCATCTTCCTCGAGGAATTTTGAGGGCAATTCTTTGAGCGGTATGAGTGCATCCTGCGGCCGTGGAGCGCCAGTGTCGAGGAAGTGCAACATATCGATCCATGTCTCTATCCGTACATTGATCTGTTTATCTAGCTGCATCAGTATATGCACTGTATGTATAATGTATACATATATATATATACATATAAATATATATACATATATTTATACATATATATATATATATACAATGCAATTGCAATGTAATGCAATGTAATGTAATGTAATGTATGTTCTGGCGGTGGAACCCTCATAGTTCCCCCCCACTTTCTGTAATGCATTGATTCCCACAGTCCAAGCCATCGATGACACTCACGAAGATGCCATTCTTCTGTACCTCGGCCGCGGGGGAAGGATCATGGCCCAATGATTACACATTCTTATCGTCATTACTATGTTTTTTTTGGTTAATCATTGGTATATCTATTAGAGTACTGACTATTAATATCAAAAAGCACTATGATTAATTATAATATCTATGATTTTGTTTGGTTATTGTTACTACTATTGCTGTTATCCGTGCCTATTATATCATATTATTCTTAAAGTTATTATCATTATAGAGTATTATTAGAATATACCCCCAGATTATGACAGTAGTATTGGATTAATGTACTTACAATTGGGTGTCGTCAGTATATTGTGCTAAACCAATGCCTTTAAAGCCTATTCTATTCAAACATGGTTCTAGCACCCCCGAAATGGTAAAACTGCGTTTTAAGGTGGGATTGTTTCTTTTTTGCCTTGCCACAGTGTAACTTAAAAAAAAAACGCTTTATAAAACCATCAAGGTCATTCAAGGGTGTCCTTGTACCATAATCAGAGGGTGACCCAGGACCAAGGGATTCCTGGCAAGTTTCTGCCGCTCTATGCCACTGAAATAGAAATGCCACCAACAGTCAAGCTTTGAAGACCATCTGGCCACTGCACTTCATGCAGGCTGTGATTGAATCTGCTACCGAAAGATCCGAAAGTCAAGCTTTGAAGAGCCGTTGGCAAGTTTGCTCCTGTCAGACTCTGGTCAAATCTCTCTCCGAAACTCAAACTTTGAAGACTGGCTGGTAAGTTCACTCCATCCAGGCTTTGGTCAAAAGAAAAGCCAAAGGTCAAGCTTTGAAGACCTTCTGGTAAGCTTACTCCCTCCAGGCTTTGATTGAATGAGTAGCCGAAAATTAGGTTCTGAAGGCCCCTTGGCAAGTTGATTCCCAACATGCTCTGGTCAAAACTATTCCCCAAGCTCAAGCTGCAAAGGCCATCAGGGAAGTTCACTCCCAGCAGACTGGCATTAAATCTACCACCAAAAGCCAGGCTTTGAAGACCTTCGGGAAAATTCACTTCTTCGAGGCTCTGGTTGAAATAATCGCCCAGAGTCAAGCTTTGAAGACCACTTGGCCAGTTCACTCCCTTGAGGCTTTGATTGTATATGCCACCAAAAGTCAAGCCTCGCAGACCGCTAGGCAAGTTTACTCCCTCCAAGCACTGGTTGTATCTGCCGCCGAACGTCAAGGTTTGCAGGCCACTTGGCAAGTTTATGCCTTTTAGGCTCTGGTCAAACGAAAACGTGAAAGTCAAGTGTTTCAAATTCCTCGGCAAGTTTACTACATCCAGGCTGTGGTAGAGTCGTCCACGGAAAGTCAAGCTTTGAAGACCACTTGGGAATTCCACCCCCTTCAGGCTCTGGTCAAATGTGGCACCAAAGGTCAAGCTTTGAAGACCGCTTGGCAGCTCGATTCCTTGCAGGCTCTGGTCGAATGCAAAACCCAAAGTCAGGATTTGAAGACTTCTTGGCAATGTCTGTCTTTCCAGGCCGTGGTCAAAACAGTCACCGAAAGCCAAAGTCTGAAGACCTTCTGGCAAGTTCACTCCCTCCAGGCTCCAGTCAAATGAATAGCCGAAAACCAACTTTCGAAGACTGCCCGGCAGGTTGGTTCCCTCCAAACTCTGATTGAATGAATAAGAAAAGGTCATGCTTTGAAGACCTTCTGGTAAGTTTACTCCCCGCAGTTTCTGGTTGTATGAGAAACCAAAAGCCAGGTTTAGAAGACTGCCTGGCAAGTTCACTCCCTCAAGGCTTTGGTCGAATAGATATCCAAAAGTCAAACTTTCAAGACCTCTGGGCAAGTTGACTCCCAACAGGCTCTGGTTGAACGTATGACCGAAGGTCAAGCTTTGAAGGCCACCTGGCAAGTTCACCCTCTGCAGGCTCTGCTTAAATGAAAAACCAAAAGTCAAGTGGTGAAGATTGCTCGGCAACTCTGCTTCCTCCAGGCTCTGGTCAAATGAATATCCAAAGGTCAAGGTTTGAAGACGACCTGGTAAGTTCACTCCCTGCAAGCTTTGGTTATAAGAAAAACCCAAAGTCAAGTCTTGAAGACTTTTGGGCAAGTTCACTCCGACGAGGTTTTGGGCATACGACACACCAAAAGTCAAGCTTTCAAGGCTGCTGGGCAAGTGAACTCCTTGCAGGCTTTGGTCAAACGAATCACGAAACGTCAAGCTTTGAAGGCTTTCCGGCAAATGATCGACGTAACTTCCACCTGGTGCCCCACATAATCTGGTGACCCCCTCCATCCCCACATCCAAGGGCAAAATTTCGTCGCCAGCCGCGAAACGCAGCGCTTCAGGGAGGTTGGTGGAGGCATAGGTACAGCACAGGCTGGCCGTGCCCAAAATGCCTTGATCTTCCAGGCTTTTGTCCAGCACAAGGGGCGAGGTCTGGTGATTCAGCAAGAGCCTCGCACCTCGATCTTGAATGCACCCCTGGGGAAAAAAGGATGTTTGGTAAGTTTGCAGGTTTGAAGTCAGGGGGTGCTCATTCAAATTGCTGGTGGTTGAGGAATGTCATGGAATATCTTGACGTTCATGTGATATATGTATATATACATATATATATGTATATATATATATGTATACATATATATACATATACATAATATACATATACATATACATAATATACATATACATATACATAATATACATACATATATACATATATACACACACGTACATATCATATCATATTCCCATCAAATAGGAGGGTTCAATGTCAGTCATTCACCAAGCATTGACAGGTCATTGTTGGGTAGACCCAAGGCGCGCACACACGCCCAGCAGGTCTACTAAACACACCATTAAACACAATTATATAAAACCTATAAACCCAATATACTGGCTACATATCATCTACCTAATCGAAGCTAATCTGATCTGATCTTATCTAATTTAAACCAATCCAATCCAATCCAATCCATCCAATCCAATCCAATCCAAATCTATCTAGCTAGCTACCTACCTACCCACCTACCTAACTACCCACCTATCAATCTATCTATCCATCCATCCATCCAATCTAAGCGCCATTAAACCCATATAACTGATGTAAGCCACATATTTGTTCACCAGTTTGGTTCAGGCACCTGGCTTGATTGGAAGTTGCTTCGCCACCATCTTTCGAAGCGAAGCGCCCAGCGTGGAACAGGGCATCGTCAGCCTCAATGCTTCGCCAGTCAAGTGAAGCACCTGGGTCTCAAGCCATGGGGTAGTTGATTTCAGCGTCAAATGGCAAGTACCATACGGAAAACATCGTTCTCTTCCATTTTTGAGGGGGGGAAATATGGGAAACCCATACCTAACCTACCAGACAGCAAGGTTTTGACCCACGGGATGGAATAATCTCCCCTATTTTTTAGATCCCCTCGGTCCCAAGGAATTCCCTACATCCAGCATGGTTTCTGAGGATCTCAGGGCGAAGGGTGACCCGGGGGGCCGAGTTTTTGCGCAACAACCTCACCTCAAGATCAACAAAGCCTGGGTCTATTGCACCCGGCAGATCGGCGCAAGCCAGATCATCGAGCGCCGGCATTGGCAGATTGAAAATGGTCAGAGGCTTTGCACTGACATATTTTGGACAACACCTGGAGCCAAAGTGAGACATCTACCATTCCTCGCCAAAAACAAATCGCTCCACTTCTTAGAAGATACCTGGGATAATTGTAAATATGCATGTGTATATATATATATGGAATTATATAGTTATAGATAGATATATAGATATATAGATAGATATATAGATAAATATAGATGCAGGTATAGATATGTATAGATAATATATCTTACATAGATATAGACTTTTTTTGGGCTTTCCAGGGGGGTTGCCCGAAATATGGCCGATCCAGCGATGGGATCCTGTGGGATCGGACGGATGAGACGAAGCCAACCATCACTTTGTTTGGGTTGTAGTTCTCTCGCCTGAGCTGATGGATACCCTGGATACCCTCCAGTAAACATACGGAAAAATGCTGGGAAATACGGAAAAATGATGGAAAATCAAGAGTTTTTGTTCAGATTTACCGACTAAAAATGGTGATTTTCCATAAGTATGTTAGTTTACTAGAGGATAAGATGGATAACATATCCTAGGGGCAATCTCAATCTTGACATATCTTGACTCCACAAGAGGGTGGCTGTATTTTTGTTGGATGATGACAAGTCCGCAATGCTCAAAAAGAGGTGGAATTATATGATGCAATGCTAGATGGATAGGGGAGCTTTGCTCGCCACCATGATTTCAGGATGCCGCCAACCTCAATCAAAATTGTTGCCGCTGGGATTTACCAAAATATACCCAAAATTACCAGGAACCCAACGAAAATCTCATCATGCTTAGGCTGAACAAACCTTATCCTGTGTTCATTCTGAATCCCTACGTATTTTGAGGAATACACCGCATTATAAATTTCCATGTTCCACAAAAAATCCATCATATCTCATATCCATATCATATCATATCCATCTCATATCCATATCATATCCATATCATATCCATCTCATATCCATCTCATATCCATCTCATATCCATATCATATCCATATCATATCCATATCATATCCATCTCATATCCATATCATATCCATATCATATCCATCTCATATCCATATCATATCCATATCATATCCATATCATATCCATATCATATCCATATCATATCCATATCATATCCATCTCATATCCATATCATATCCATATCATATCCATCTCATATCCATCTCATATCCATATCATATCCATCTCATATCCATCTCATATCCATCTCATATCCATATCATATCCATATCATATCCATCTCATATCCATATCATATCCATCTCATATCCATATCATATCCATCTCATATCCATCTCATATCCATATCATATCCATATCATATCCATCTCATATCCATATCATATCCACTGTGTTCATTCTGAATCCCTCCGTATTTTGAGGAATACACCGCATTATAAATTTCCATGTTCCACAAAAAAACCATCATATCTCATATCCATATTCTATGTCCACCGGTTCATCCGGTTTTTCCATCCGGTGCCCCATCGGCAAAGTCGCAGTTTCTCAATGCCTTCCTCCATCTTCCGCCGCCTTGCGTCCAACTCCTGGGACTTGGCGTCTAGGGAAAACATATTATGTACATATGCAATACATATAATATATATATATACATAATATATATATATATACATATATCCGGGTAAATTATAATAATTCACTAACCTGAATGGTTCGGCCATTTGGGGATGATTCCCCTTACTAACCATGATTCCAGTGAGGGAGGACAGTGAGGTCGTTATAATTTACCCAGATATATGTGTGTGTACTTATTCATTATTTGTTGATTATGTATTTATGTATGTTTTTATTTATGTATTTATGTATCTATTTATGCATTTATGTATTTTTATGTTTACTTATTTATTTGTGATTATTGATTTGTGATTATTTACTTGTTTATTTATTATTTATTTGTCTATGTATTTATGTATTTATTTTAGTTATCTATTTGTGTTTATTTCTTTGTGATTATTTATTTATCTATTTATTTATTTGTTTATGTGTGTGTTTATTAATTTGTGTTTATTTACTCTTTTGTTATTTTTCTTTTTATGTTTGTATGTGTGTGTGCGTGCATTTATTTATATCGGTTCACTATCTATTTATGTGTACATTAATCTATCTATTTATTTTGTCTATTTAAAAAATAATGTCTCTGTTTATCTATTTATATTCTCTCTCAGGATACTCTCCCCCCTCTTCTTATTGCTTTGTGTTTTAATTCATCTGTGGGATGTACAAGAACGTAGCCATATTTGACAAAGTCATCCGTTCGGGGTCGGCAACGGGCCGGTTCGAACCGTACGACCCTTAGCTAGATCATAGCCCTAGTTCTTGTTGGGTCGAAATGTCAATCTTCCTTTGTAACTCTCCAGTTCTACTTGCTGAAACATGGTGAATTGCAAAAATTGGAGAAATCAACATGTTTCAGGACAAAATGCTAAATTATAGTGCAAATTCCTGGGTAAATCACAATTTTTCCCGGTTGAAATATGTGAAAGTCCTCGTGCCCAGCTCCGGCTACGGAGATCTCCTGCCCTCGAAGGGCTTCCTCGTGCGCTTTCAGCATGGAGACCCGGTCGCTGCCGATGTCGCGCACGCGGAGCTTGCCGTCACGGCTCAGTTTGTTCACCTCGGAATGCGCGGAAACTACCCCTCATCAAACGTGGCAAAAAATACCCTCCGGTAAACTAACATAACTATGGAAAATCACAATTTTTGATGGGAAAATCCACTATAAATGGCCATTTTCAATAGCTATGTTAAATTACCAGAGGGTAAACTGGAAAATCATCCAACTAAATCGGTGATCTTCCAGCAAACCATGGTTATTCATTACCATGTTCGGTGACAAAATTGGGGTTCCTGAGCCCATAGCGGGGGGAGGAACCAAAGCAAGAGACAAACGCCAAAATGGCACTGAAGTTGAGAAAAAGATATCTTTGGCCAACTGATTGCCAATGAATGCGTGCAATGGATGGTTTAGACCTCCATTCTTTGTGGCCAAATCTGCCATCAAGATTGACGAACCAAAATTCATTAACGAAACCTTATATATTCATACAGGATAAGTTTTCATATGTATTCATACCACTCTATTTAAAAAAAAAACTTCTCTCCGTACAGTCTATATCCATACATATCTATACATATCTATACATTATTATATATATTATATATGATATATATGATATATGTGTATCATTGTTTATCCATGTGAAGATACCGCAAAAAAAAAAAAAAAAACGACTGACTCGCTCCATCCTGTCCCATTCCATCCCGCTCTCGGCAAAGCGCTGCTTGCCTCACCGCATTGGTCGAGGCCTCGGTGCTTGGTGAGAAGTGCTCCACAGGTAGGAAGGCTTCCTGGCCGCCTGGAAATGCTGAGCTTCGCCATGAAAAATAGGGAAATAGTAGGACTAATAAATTGATTAGTCATAGATTCATAAGGAAGTGGAGTTTCTACCCTAGCCGCAAGAAAGATCATCTCAAATTTCAAACATGTTGGAGAGAATTTATCGACCCGTTTTTTAGCTGGGAAAATCAGTGAGCTAACCTGGGAATTGTCTATAGCAATGTTTGATTTCCGCATAGTATACACACGGTGAATATGTCCTTTTATATCTATCTATCTATCTATCTATCTATCTATCTATCTATCGATCTATCTATCTATCTATCGATCTATCTATCTATCTATCTATCTATCTACCTATCTACCTATCTAACTGTTTTTATAGATATATAATATCATAAGTTTTATATATATATATATATGTGTGTGTGTTTAGGGATAATTTCCCCATCATCTTCCATGATCGCCCCATGGGACCAGTCTCCACCCTGGCCGCCAGTCTCCACCTGGTAGTCGCACGAAACATCCACCGGGTCGAAAGCGCACGGGCTTCGCCATCAGAAACGTCCCCTCCTGTCGAAAGCCCATGGCGTGGAGATTTTACCAGCCAATTAGGGGTAGAAACTTCTGGATGTGGCCATTTTGTGTGAAAATTAGTATGGTTAACCCTAACCATTGTATAGTTTTGGACCCTAATATAGGTCCCATGTTTCAAACGCAAAGTATTATATAAGAAAAATGCATACTGTCTACTTTGTACGCCTTGCTTCACGTCAACATAAATTTCCTTCGTCTGAAAGTTTCCCAAGGGCCGAGTACTGTAGAGCTTGCAGCTGACTGAGGGGTTGCAAGGAAGCCCTCATGTTTGCAATGATTTACCATCCATTTCTGAAGAAATACTCTACCTTTCATCTGCTCGGCTCAAGACTTTTTAGTTCCAAGTTGGTTGGTTTACTACCTGGTCTGATATTTGCAAATACTATACAGTTGTCCAGGGATCTGCAGGCACGTTTGGAACCGTCAGACTTTCACTGGGTTAATTTCAAGGATGTCTTAATACAAAAACAATACCTTTCCTAATATGTTTCTGTTTAAGCTGGTCAAGGGAGACTTCTAGCTATCTTCACTGACAGCTGTCATGCTGCTGCCCCCTGCACACCCGGAGCCGGATGCCGCATAGTCTGGTAAAGCCAACAGGTTTACCTTACAAAAGCCATCATTCATCCGTGAGTAAGTATTATATAGAAATCCCTTGTTTTCCCATATGTATATATATATATTCATTGGATTGGTTTAAGGGAAAATTTACAGGAAACCCCTTTATTTAATGGCAAAAACAATGGTTTCCTGTAAATTTTCCCTTAAACCAATCCAATGATATATATATATATATATCCCTATACTAATCCCTGTTTACCATTATCCCATGTAATGCCGTTACGAATCCCTATGAATAGAAGGCCAAAAATTTTCGCCTCCACTTGGGTGTCCGGGCCTCCAGCCTGGCTTCAAGCGCCGCCCTCGGAAAATCTGATTCGGATGGTCTGGTGGATCAAGCCCCGGTGGTTTTAGGGACCCAACTGTTGTACTTCAAGGGATTCAACATGATTGGTTAATGTACATTAATGATCATTACCCTCTGGTAAACTAACAGTTTGCGAACTGGAAAATCACCATTTTTAATGGGAAAATCAACTGTTTTGATGGCCATTTTCAATAGCAAACTGTTAAATTACCAGAGGGTAATGTAGCCTGGTAACGCTTGGGATGTTCAGTTACCACTTGGGATTTTCAGTGACTTACCTTGGGCACCTTGGGCACCCGGCAGATCTGGATCCTCATCAAAGGCAGCTTTGGAAGATGCTACGCTGCCTGCGTTTGGGTCATCCCGTGGTGAGAACGCCACAGGACACCTAAACGGTTTACCCCCCAAGTATCCCCACAAATGACTCAAACATTGGGCTGAAATCAGGCCTTCAAAAACACATTCTAAAATGGTGTGCCGATGTGTGCGCCGCAAATAGTTATGTGAGTTGAAACACATGCCACATCTGTCCCTCCTAACAAACACCTGTCTGTCCAAAGCAGCATGCTTTCCCTTTTGCTCAGCACTGCATCGTCGGAAGTTCGCGGAGGGTTCCATGGCAATTGAATTGGCACTGGTTGATCGGAACGATCTGCCTAAAAGGCGGTTGTAGAGACATGTCCTTGAGTGACAAAGGGCGGCGAGAAGTTGATACCTGACAGGAGGTCACAAGGGCATGTACCATTCGACTCAGGTTGGCTTGTCACTGCAGATTTTCTGCTGCGTTGTTGATTTCATCCAGCTTGAAGTTGGCAACATATCAAGTCTTGGACTTGGTCCTTGCTTCAACGTGCTGTTTGAACTCGTGCAAGATCTTCCACTGACCATGCACACAAGCGTTCCTGATTGGATCACGTGCCACACTTCCTTTATTCAATCCATCGCTCAGCATATCAAGCGTATCTATCCAGCAAAGGCGGCTGGCGACACGCATAGCAAGGATCTCCTTTAGCTTAAGAGCATGCACAAGCATCAACTTATCTGTAGTGGTTTTGGTGTCTGTTGCAACTATGCAATCGAACACTGCTCGTGCATCCAAGAAAAGATCACTTTCTAACGCATTGGTTCCAGTCTCTTGGATATCAGCCATCATGCTAGCTGATTTGCTACCGGTCAGAACTTCTGTCATAGCAAGGTTGATCGTATTGGCAAGGGCAACCAAATCAAGGGCCGCATAAAGTTCAGCTGTGAAAGTACTGCGGCAAACTCTGCTTTGTTTCTTTGAAACAAACTCCAAGATTTGGATCGGATTGTTTCCGATCTTGGGACCATCTTTATCACCTAAGGCTATGATTCCACTTCTCATGGCGAGACCATCATTCTCTTCAGCTTTGAAACTACTATCAGATATAACATACATCCTCCATGGACTGTTCACCTTATGATAGTACAACTTCATTGGCTTTCGTTTCAAATACGCAAGCACACGATTCAAGTTGGCAACATCACGGCCAGTGGGTGATTGGAGCTTGCGCTGAAGAGCAGCTGTGAACACAGCTATGTCTGGTCTGGTTTGAACTGTCCAAGCTATTCCACCAAGAAGTGACATGAACTGACTTTTGAGATCATCATTAACTGGTTCATCCTTTGGGCTGTTTGTTTCAGCTATGAAGCGAAGTTCATTCACATAGTGTTCTTGGCTAACACTACGTGAACCATTTGGTTCAAGGACATGACGGAGTCCAAGGTGCTCAAAGTTGTCCTTTTCTACTTTAAGTTCATCAAAGTGTTCTGTCAAAACTTTAAGCACTAGGTTCAGCTGATCTTCTTCGCCTGTCATTTTCAAGTCATCGACATGAACTGAAAGAACGAGAACGAGGCGTTCTCCTGAGTGTTTGACAAACAACTGTCTGTCTGTTTGTACTGCCTTCAGACCACACTTATCAAGAACCTTTTGGAGGGCTAGGTTCCAGAGACGTGGCGCGTCCTTCAGTCCAAAACCTGGTTTTAAAAGCGAAAGGCATTCACTGGTCGGATCATAGTTCTCCATTCCAGGAAACGTTCGGAGAAGCTCTTCTGATCCTACTGGCAAAGCTATCTCCACAACACGGAGAGGTTGTGAAGTATCCATTTGGGCCAGTTCTTGGAAAGTGATGCCGCGAAGAAAGGCTTCGCTGACGTCTGCTGAAATCAAAGGCCACCCAAACTGGGTTGATATAGCTAAAACAATCCTCTGTCCCCAACGTGAAGTGGTTCCTGCAAACGTGCTCAGGCTCTGTCGGTCTTGGAAACCCTGAGCTACAAGACGGCCCTTCACATCCTTCTTTCCTGCAATGTTCTTCCATTTCAAGACCCATTTAGATTTTAAAAGATTGCGGCTGTTGGAAAGTGGCATTCTGCGCCATGCGTTGTGCTTGATCCAACGATTCAATTCCTTCAACATGGCAGCTCGGCAGGCTTCAACATTTTCCAAAGCTTCACTACGGGTTAAGACATTATGGGTCCTTTCAATTACAGGAACATTGGGACTAACATTATTGGGATTACTGTGGTATTGGAAAACTGGATAGTCGAGCCCAGCTTCATCGAGTGCAACGCTGGGTGTAACAAGATACTGGGACACCTTTCTATCCAATCCTAGTTCGGCTGGTTGGTCATCATCAGCATACGCAAAGATTTCTTCGTTGTGGTGGTTGCAACATGGCCAGATTGGTGGACTGGCTGCACAAGTCCAACCTACATGGATGTCTGGATCTGCGTTTTCACCTTCATCTGGCAACAAGTCAATTTCTGAACCATCAAGGCTTTGGGATGTTGGAACAACATCTGGATTAGTTGATGGCTCATTTTGTGTCGAAGAAACATTGACATCAGGCTGCTGCTCATTCGGATTATCTACTTCGGGTTTATCTGTTAAGGACTTAAACTTAGGTCTATTGGTCTTAGGATTAAATAGGGGAACTTCGCGGATCAGTGGCATGCGAGGCTCATACACGCCGCCGATATTTGCGATGTCAGAATTAATCTTTCTTAAGTGCGAAATGGCAACGCCATCCTCCATTAGGAATTGGATGAATGCGACATTTTCACTACCACCTAAGTTGTGCAAGTTTATGGTTTTACTTCCATCAGTGAAAGCGTGGCACCAGTTGTGGAATTCACCGGGCTTCCACCAGCATACAAGTGTTTCATCGCAATAGAGACCTGAGATGGTCTTCATGCCATGACCGAATCGCACGCTGAAAACACCTATGAGTTGCAAATTGACAGCTCCAACGTGAAGTCCTGCATGTAAGACTTCAGGGTACTCTTTGTTGCCCTCACATGACAACCATCGATCATTCTTACGGAACCATCCAACTCTCATGCAACCCTTGAAAGATTCTGCAGCAACTTTCAAAACTTCAATTGGTGAATTGGCACCACCAAAGAATGCAGGTGCATATGCGAATGCCAAGGCTCTGCGTGCATCTTGTACGCGGACTTGAAGATTTCTGCCCTGCCACCTCACACCGATAATTCCATCAGTGAGTGCGGTCAGATCGGTTATGGATGCAGGGCCGTGCCAACGGGGCACGTCTTTGGAAATGGCTGGGCGATAAATATCCACAAGATCGCCAACTTGCATGTCCTTCAACTCTCCAGCTGGTCTGGATTTCGTGGCATTTGCTCTGCGGATGCGATCCTCTGCTGAGGCTTGGATCATGGCTTGCACAGCTATGGATCGGAGTCGGGCGGGATGTTCCCGCTCCTGATCATCTTCTGCAGTCATCACATCGAGCATTGGTGGAGTACGGCCGAACAAGGCCTCGTAAGGAGAGTATCCTCCGTACTGCAGCAACACATTCTTGGAAAACACAGCTTCATTAAGAACTTGGGTAAATGAAACACGAAGTCCATCCCTAGTAGCTTGTTGATCCATCAGGTGAATTTGACGTCTAAGGATTTCATTGTGTCTTTCTACCACTGGAGCATGTTGGCTTTTAGCCTTTAAATGAAGCTTAATTTTCAGTTGTTCAAGCACTGCTGCAGCCACTTCATTAAGTCCACCTTCTTGATCGGATATCAATTCTGCAGGGGATCCATATTGATTGATCCATCCATCACGAATACCATTCAGGATTGAGGGTGTTGTTCGGTCAGGGATTTCAACACCAACACTCCAGCGAATGCATCGGTCAATCATGTGCAAGATTACATGAGTACCAACAAACAGCAAGTCAAGTTCGACTTCAAGGTTAAAACGTTCAGGCAGTCTCGTGGAAGTGACCGATCTGTTCCCAGGGCGACTCCAGTTGCGACAAATGTCACATGTGGCAACGACATCTGCAACTTGAGCAACAACTTCAACAGGTACACCTGCAGCGGTGAGCAGGGTGCTCATGCGTCTTGCAGGGGCATGGTACCAACGGATGTGCAACTTACGCAGTGCCCTACGAACTACTCCAGGTCTGGATGACCTCAAGAGCTGCAATGACGTTCCAAGATCGAACCTCGACCACACTGGTTCTTCAAGAACAGGTTGGATCGCTTCAGCATCGGCTGCATTGGGAGCAACTGGTCCTCCATCTTCAATGGCTAAGGGCTGTGCTGCACGTTCGACAAGGTCAGGATCTGAGCCGGCCTGAACTTCTGCACTGGCTTTCATGCGGCGTCTGGCTGACGCTTCTGCAGGAGTCAAAACTTCAGGTTCTATGCTATCATGTCCTACTGCTCCTTCGGCTGGAGCTGCTTCTTCACGCAATCGAACTGCAGCTGTTGGATCTCTGGCAGCTGGAACACTGCCATCTCTTGGGTGGCGTCCTCTTCGGGCTCGAGGACCACCATCATCTCTAGTTCCGGCAATTGCCCATCTGCAGTCTGGGCCAAGTGTGTGAGATGGATCGGATCGATGTCTATTGCGGCGACATCCATCACAAGTCCATTCCATCGCAGGTTCATCTTTGAAGCGACAGTTCTCGTCGCGTGTGTGTCTAGTATCGTCCCTGCGAACATGACCTCTGCAGCCTGGGCAAGTGAAAGTTAGAAATTGCAAAGTGGCTTGGCTGCTGTCAAAAGAACTACACAACAAATCGGCAATGCCTCTGGCAAGGCTTCGGCACAAACTGATAGGCCAGTTTTCGGCACTTGATTTGACCTTTCCATGTTCATGGTTATCAAGGCAAAATCTGTTGGCAACATGTGCAAGAAGGATTGGACTTGAGGCAATGAATTTTGTTGGCTTCTTAAGATGTGTTCCATCAGGGTTCTTCAGGCCAAACCTACATTGGTCGCAAACAGCTACATGAGCGATCTTTGCAAGTTCCTTCCAGGATGGAAGTTGAAACATCAGGCTTGCACGGGGCTG